CAATCAGCTCCTTGAATCACACCCAGATGCAAACTGGCAACCACTGCAGCTTGCAAAACAGAGGTGTTATATGGACATACCGAGGCATTCTGAACCAGTTGAAGTTTCTGGGTGGTCTTCAAGGTCAGCTCCATGTGGAACACATTGCAAAAATCAAGCCACGAGGTGATCAGAGCATGAAGCCCTCCCCCATCTAGGAAAGAATGCAGTTGGTGCAGGTACAATGAAGAGGTACAGCAGCCACCTATTCATTGAACAACTGTGAGTTCAGGAAGACGTTGAGGTTGTTAAGAAATTAGGGATGTGCATAATGCATCCACAAACACAAAATGCAGAGTGGAGAAAAGAGAGAAAAGGCTCTTTGCCTGATCAAAACCAATTTGTGGGGGGAATTTGGTTTTAGGCAAAGAAAGAAAGAAAGATCTAGATCCTAAAAATCTGAAAATGATTTCCTTTCCTTAGGTCAGGGGTAGGCAACCTTGGCTCTTTTATGACTCGTGAACTTCAAATGGCTGGCTCAGGAATTCTGGGAGTTGAAGTCCACGAGTCATAAAAGAGCCAAGGTTGCCTACTCCTGCCTTAGGTTTTGGCTTTTGATCACCTTACAGACTAGTAAGTCTGGATCCAACCTGTTAGAGTCTTTGATCATTCCATGTCGATGTTACTCTCGGTCTCATTGATGCAGTAATTAAAATAGTGGAAAAGGTAACTTTTCACGAAATCCAAACTTGAATTTTGCATAGTTAAATAGCAACACTTCATTTATATTAGTCTTTTACTTAGGTTTTGTGCTCATGGCCTGTGTGTATTTTTTGAACTACATCCATTCCAGCCATTTACAAGCTCAGAGAACGTTCTGATGTTTTAAGGCAGAGAAATTGTTCTTAGCAACTTTTTTCTTTCAGCATATTCTTAATGAGACTTAGAAATGTCCAATAGAATACAGGTAGTCCTCAGCTTATCACCATAATTGAGATTGAAATTTCTATCGTAAGTCAGTGCACTCTATAAAGCGAGATGTCATGTGACTGCACTGACTTACGATGGCAACCCTGGCTCTGTCTGATGCTGTCATTAACTAAGAATCATGGGTTGTTAAGTGAGTTAAGTGATTAGGATGGTTATCCTAATCAAGCCATTTGAGGTTTGGTCCAGGACTGCCTCCAACACCCCTCACCTGGCTAACTCCCTCCCCACCTCTGTTCTTTTCATCGCCCTGCGCCCTCCCTTGCGGAGCGGCAAGCCTGATCCAGCAAGCAAGCCAGCAAACATTCCTTTGATCCCCAGTAAGTACCAGTAGGCATACATGTACCCACCTATCTTCTCTCCCAGTTCTTTGCATCAACCTTTAGCCTTTTGCGCCCAGCACTTTGCTGCCTTTGCTGTGTCCTTTTCAGTCCCAGCACCTTCCCTCCTCCCTCCCCATTTTCAGAATGACTAAAGCTGCACCCTGTCTTTGCAAATCTTCCCAAAGACCAGTGCAGTTTTGGCTGGAATGGAAGTGGATCCAAAAAGGAGACGGCAAAGGCAGCAAGGTGCTGAATGCAAAAGTGAAAGGTTGGTGTGGAGACCTGGGAGAGAATGCTTGCTGGGACTTGCTGAATCAGCTTTTTGGGGCATGGCCATGCAGTTCCGGGACTGCCCCACAAGTCAGGGTACAAGGTGGCCAACAGGGTAGAGGTGGGGTGGGGGGATAGGTGAGTGAGAGGAGTTGAAGCACCCCTGTGGTCATAAGTGCAGGTGGGATGCCAAGTGTCTGAATGTTGATTACTTGACTGCAGAGGTGCTGCAATGGCCACGCCTTCAGGCATAGGTCATAAGCCCATTTTTGCAGCACTATTGTAATTTTAAACAATCACTGACCATTGAATGGTTGTAAGTCAAGGACTATGTACAGCCAGGATTATATTCAGTGTTGTCTGTAAATAGGGTGAGGTTTTTTGCTCTGTTTTGGAGAAAAATCAGAAAACAAGAAGTCTCTTAAATAGAGCGCTTATCAGGAGAATAGAAAGCAGACCAGATTTATATCTCTGCGCATATCAGTTACAAATGAAGCTAACAATTCAGTAGTGCTAATAGGACAGTTTTTTATTATGTTGTGTCAGGATAATGGACAGAATCCGAACAATTGCAAAAATATTTTTTTGTGATCATTAGCAAACTTGAGGCTTTCTTCTTCAACAGTAAAACTTTGTTTCATATTTTTCTTCTTGTCTGTTCTGCATTACAAATGGGCAAGTCTCAAAATGGAAGTTGCTCTGAAGGAAAAGAATTTCATGGACTCAAGCTTTTTACATGAGTCAGGAAGTATCGTTTGTGTGAAAGTGGGAGGGGTGGAAGGAAAGATTATCCTGCTGGGAAGAGGTGTTTCTAACTCTCCCTCCCTCTCTGATAACTCTTGATATTACAAAAGTTGTTTTGGAAAGTCTTCGGGTAGAAATGAAGTGTTTTGGCTTGAGATCTTTGATCTATCCTCTCTTCTGACCTACTATTAGCAAGAACATAAACAACAGAATTGTTTGCTTATAATCTTCCATGAATGCTCTTTTTTAATCTAGCAGTGAAGGTTTTTATGCCAGAACAAAGATATTTTCATCCCATCATTTCTTTTAATCTCTTCTATAGAAAGGAAGCAAACATTCCATATGTATTAACTGCATTAAAATATACTCATTTCTGAGCACTGAAGCATGATTGGAAAAAAAACTTTCTTCTTTAAAAGGGCCCTAGAATTACAATCAATATGGTATATTTTCCAGAGCTTCTAAGTTAGCACGATTCTTGAGTGGGTGAAACTGAAAATCCCTAGTATCAGCTTTTCTGCTTCCCTTTTAAATATGTCTACTTGTCTCTTCTCACAGTTTTATTTATCTTAAAGCACTGTATACAGTTTGATATCCTTTGGTGATTTTTAAACAGGTTTTCCTGGTTGATTTTGGGAAAGTAATGTTAGAACAGCTAAGAAGTTGTTTACTCTAACATGGGACAGTATAATCTAACTTTGGGGCTCAAGGTTTTTGAGAGTAACTTTCTAGCTTCTATGGCAAATCATTTCTGAAACCAAGACATTTTCAAAACCACTATATTGGAATCACTGTGGCTGTCCATGGAAAAAAATGTAAAATAAAATCTGTCTTTTGTATACCCAATGTCTGGATTTTAAAATACCTCAGTTAAATTGGAGTTAATAAGTATATTTTGGTCAGGTTATTTTTAATACCAAAAGTGATTCTGTGTAGTGATGTTACTTACAAATAAATGAAGTTTTTTTCTAATTTGCAAGTATATTGATGAAATACAGAAGAAATGCTTAATGCCACATAACGAGCTTTCAAAGCTATGAGAAAATAACCTGTAGAAGTGGGTATTTGCTATCAGGTTTTCTGGTATCTCAGTTCAAGCTGCCATCCAGTCCTTTCAGGCTTTCTGGGATTATTTCTCAGTTTCCGAGAAGTAAAAAATTGTTGGCTTCTGCATGTCTTGTGAGGTCTGGAAATATGACAGCATTCTGATTGGAAGGGCTGTCCAGGAGAGGGAAAGTCATTAACTAGAGTTGGTTAGAAGATGGGGAGCTATAAAAAATGTTTTAAATAAATAAAAAGGGTAGCTCATATCTCCTTGTACCAGATTGGCGAAGTTTACAGTATATCAATCCATTATCAGCATATCAATATATCTATCCACCGCATCACATACAGGTTCAGCAGTTTGAACAGTTGGTTACGCCTTTTCCATGATAATTCTGCATAAATTAATCATACCACTAAAGCAATTTAATAATTATTTAATATTTAGTGTACATTTTATCTACTCATTAACAAAAAAATGTCCCAGCAATACAAAATAAAACCAACCTGTAACACAGGAAATAGAAAAACAGTTTGAGATATATATCTATAAACTGTCATTGTAATGCTTGGTATTTGAAGTTCTCCATAAAATGTAAGTGTGCATGCATAAAATGCCTGGGAGAAGGAAGATGGCACAGATAGATAACAGATGGTACCAGGCATTCTCTTTGAGGAGATATTTCTTCCCCAACTCTTATAATTCCATGTAGAACCAAATTTCAGTTATAAATCTTAGAGAAAACCTAAAATAGATTTAACAAACGTAAATATTTTAGAGTGAACTTCTAAATTCAATTAGGGTTTTAAAAAGGCCATGAAATAGCTAATCTTGTAAAGGCCTGAATCACAAGTGTTGATATTCCATAATAATGTATCCCTGTTGAACCTCTCTATGTAGATTAAATACTTGGTAGAATCTCTGATACGGGAAATACAGGTAGTTAATGAATATTGATAAGAGACTTTTAAACAATGGCAATTGGCTGTTATTTTAGACTAGAATGGCTTTTTAGTTTCAGAGAATGAAAATGGGATAGCTACATGACCAAATATATCTTTGAGATTCCACTAAGTGCCTCTGAATGTTTTCCTATATTTTTAAGTACGGTAGTTGAAATCTTGGAAATTGTAGGACACCTTTAAACCTGTCAAATTTATTTTTAAAAAAATCATAAATTCTACTGACTCCTAAATGAATGGTATAATTAAACAAGAAAAATTTAAGATATGCAATAGCAAAAGCCAAATCACTGAAAGAATTAAAGATGCTAGTAGGGTTTGGGAAATCTTCAGGATTCAAAGATAAAACCTGTAGGAAATCCATGCATCTAACTCTTTATCTAGCTAGAACTTAGAATCCTGGTATAGTATGGCTCTTCCTTAGGCATGCACATTTCTTTGCATAAACTCTTGAAACAGCGAGTACTTTTTACAGTAACTGTCAGTGTTAGAGTTTAATTGTTTTTTTGTTTTCAGAATTTGGATTGGTGTCTGGCATACTTTTGGGGAGATACATACGCAGGCAACGAGCTAGCTAAATTTGAGCCATTAATAGGTTATGAAAGAAAAGCTAAAATTTGCATGCACAATGCTGTATGTTAATGATTGTCAAATGTTTCTCTAAGGATCTACTTCTGTTTTTCTCATTAGGAAGAAAGTTCTGGCACTGTTGCATCAGTATCTACACTCAGTCTATTAAACACTGGGGTATGAAATTTAATATTTTTCTTTCACATTCTATGCCATTTAGGATCTTTGTAGCATTCATTGAAATACAAGGTACATTACATAATTGTAATATGAGTGAACAGTACTAATACAGCAAGTCATTAAATACCATTAACAAAAAGGGGATTATATTAATTGTCTTTGTTTAATAATAATTATTGATATAAGCTGATTTGTTTCTCTTAAGTTTACATAATTTTACTGTTTGGTTGAAATATGCTTTACTATATAAATTTCATTTATATTTAGTTGATTCCGCTGCATAATGCATTTGGCCAACTTATTTTGTTGGTATAAATGTATAGGTATTTTCAGTAGCTTTAATATCTCATTGCTTTATGAAAGTTGTTACTTTTAATACAATGGAATGTTGAAATCTTCCGAGAACAAATTTAAATGAGTTGGTGAAAGAAAAAGAATGTTAGATTTGAACATGTTAAACGCTTCAGTTATACTCTTATAATTTGAAGGAAAGTGCTAAAAGAATAGTTGTTTCTCTGATCATCTAGGCTCAAGCAAAACACTCCTCCTACATAAACTGTTCACTCCTTCCAGGTCAATTTTATAATTGTTCTCTCCTTAAGGTTCAGAGGTTCAGAAGAAAGCAATCTATTTATTTAAAAAATCATACAGTAACTAATTACAAAATAAATCTTTTAATTACAAAGAATGAGTGACAACTAATAATGTAATGCACACATCGCAGTTAGGGATGTGATGACAAATGAGAATGTGAATAACTAGACTTAGCTTTTTATTTAGAAACCTGATCCTGCCCTCTTCAGAAGCAGTGTGACTATTTTATTAGGCAACAAATTAAGCAAAATTTTCCTAATGTTTTTAAGTTTTACCTGTGTCTTAAATTTTTACTAATGTCTTAAGCCACACATCAGTCTAGCCTTTTGAGAAATTTGATTTGAATTCCCACTGAATTCAATATTTAGACCTTCTCAACTGCTGTTTAATATCTTTTGTTCCTTTCTGTTTAATGGTTGTCAGTGGCTTTAATAGAAAGTCGCATAGTGTAAGAGTTATTGGTATCTCATTGTATTTGACAAAAATATTATATATTCCATTTAAGATACATCAGAATTAGAAATAAAGTGGGTTAATTACAACATATGTGTCAATGCTGCTAACATCGGATGTTCTTGCTTTGACAACATATGGAGATGCAGCCATTTTCCTTCTTACGTTTTACTCTTAGAATTAGAGTTAGAATTAGATGATAATGGGGGGGAGGAGGAGGAATGTGTATGGGAGGAGTATGACATAACAATATTGTAATAGTGTGAGAACCAAGGTTTTTTGAAAAAAGAGATGATAAGAAATGGCAGGGTTGGAGAACAAGCGGGAAAGCCTGCATTTCAGACTAATTGGAGAATGTGATTTATGACTGTTAATTAGAGGAGGGAATTGTGCTTGGTACTATGTGCTCAGGGGAGGGGAATTCAGATTTTGGCTTTGCTATGTAAGTGGGGAAGCTATGCTACTCAGATAAAGATTCTTTAAGGTAAACAATGCCTCAAAGTTTTTTGAAGAGTTTCATCTGTCGAGTTTCATTTGTTGGAACCATGACAGTATGTTTACAAATGCAAGAGAGCTCAGGTTTGCCACAATATTTTCTTTTCCTCACTCTCTGCTTTCCCTTTGTTGATTTGGTTTTTCAATTCTGTATATATTTGGATGGCTTTTCTTATTTTGTGACTTTCCATGAAGCCAAAATAATAATCTTGATAACAAGATGAAAGATTTAGAGAATTTGTGGGGTGATGATGGCAAGTATTGGGGTTTCTAATACTTGGATTTTTTTGTGAATATCTTTACAAGAGTTGAAGACTATGGAGAAGTCATAGAGCTATAGACTAGATTGGAACTAGTTTTTTTTTTTTAAAAAAAACAGAAAACGACAAACCATTTTATGTACATATGCTGTGTAGCTGCCAAGAATTGAAATTGACTTGAGGGCATCTCTCTTTTATCAGAAGTTTTAAAATGATGCTTCTTATTAGGACTGTTTAGTACTTTGGATTCAAAGGAAAAAAAATATTTGGCATGCACATTGCAAAGAAAGATGTCCCTGCACTATCTGAAGACCTCAGTGTATCTGAAACATTGTACAGCTATATTGTTTACAAAAAAAGAGACATGTTGATTGATTTCTGTTACTTTATTTAGTTATCTTCATTTCCTCTTTTTGGAAGCGTGTTGCCATATCCATGGCAGTGCAGACTGCCTGTTTATTATCCACCAAAGTCCCTTTGCTAAATGCCACCATTTTCTCTCTGAAGTGCAAATTTTGGAATTAAGTGTCTCATTTTTAGGAAGACCTGATTTTGGTTTTGAATATTCATTTTAGTCCAGACAGAAATTTCCTTGCATTCTACTCTGGGAAGAGTGACGTATTAAATAGAATAATTAATAAATTTAGAATTCCTCATTTGAACTCAAACTCAAGTTTCTATTTGTCAAGAAAGGATCATACATAAAGGTGCAAGAAATTGGATTAGTATCTGACTCAGAATTCCTCTAAGTCTAAACTGTATTTTTTATGGTTTACATCAAAAAAGCTTTGGGACTTCCATCAGTTCTCCTGATATGTCTGTTTCCAGCAGGTAATGGATAGATGAAACAAGACAGCACTAGCAAACTGTCTATTTCCTGAGTATTAATCTAAGGAATCCAATGGAGCGTTTTGATGGCATAGTGGTGAAGACGCTAGCCCCCCCCCCCAACTTGGAAGGTTGAGAGTTCAGTCCTAGGTAACTGGCAGATAATTCTCTCCTAAGGCACAAAGAAAATATATCTGCTGCAAACTCTGTGTGGTATCAGGAAGGGCATCCAGCCAGTAAATGCTCAGCTCCATCCAGTCACCCTGACGCTACTCTGAATTAAGGGATTACAGGGTCATAAAAAGGGAGGGTTTTTTTTTTAATCTAAGGAATCCAATATTTCTGTTTAAGGACTAGCAGCATTAAGAATTCTAAGAGCGTAAAAGACATAGAGATTTTTTTAAAAAACAAGACATTTCCTGCCTGAATGCTTATGGTATAGTATAGTTTTCTGTCCAGGGCAGAAAAAGGCAATGGGAGGAAACACATTGCCAAATTTCTTTGAGCAAAAACTCCAAACTAAGTAAATCTCAGTGGAATTAGGAGAACTTTATTTTCTGCTACATATCTGTAGCAATGGTGCTTGCTGAGGCTGTGCAGCTGTTACCCTTGGCATTTCCCCTAACGCAGTAGACACGAAACACATGAACTGAAATGCTTACAGTGTACAAATTAAAAGCTGTGGCAAATGTTCAGCTGTGATGTGCAAACATGATTCTCCGGAGCGTATCTTGCCAACTAAGTACATTCAGGAAATGGATAGCTTCGCATCCTGCTTATAGCATCTTCATGGACATTTGAGGAATCAATCATATTTCAAAGATCTGACTGATATAATGCAACAGAATTTAAGGAATATAATGTGGATTAGATTTATTATTTTAATCTAGACTTACTAGTTCTTGGAAATGTTTAAGACAGCTTGTCAGACGTACAGCAATTTGAATTCAAAGCACAAAACATGATTTGGAGCATGGGTGGGTATACCCCATAACATTTCTCAGAAATTTCTTAAACCATATGTGTTTTTTTTCTGGAGATTCTAGGTGAGTTGAAGAGGGAGCTTGTGCAAACCCAGATAAAGTTACAGCTGCTTTAATGTATTCCTACCAAAGCCTGTTACGTACCTATAGTGCTTCGCCTTATATTTTGCCCTTCAAATTAGGAACTCTTAACAGCTCTGCTATGTGTATCATCTTGTATTAGTCATAGATCTGATTTATATAAAGGACCAAGTTTATTTACCTTTGGTTTCCGTGGTTTAGATTTATGTGCTATGTAACATTAGCCACTGTGGTTTTAAAATTATAGTGTATAGTTTAGTATAATCTGTATAATTCCTAGTTTTTGTAGCTTCTTCCAGAAAATTATCATTTAAAACTGGATTATATAATGTGTGAATGCAACCATTGCTTTGTAACTGATTTTTCTTCTTGAAAACAAAATGTCAAATAAGAAAACCAATATGTCACAGTCTGGGGGAATATAATATATTGTATATTTTTCCTCTTGGTTAATATATTTCAATTCCTTGAGACTGTGTTGCATATATAGCTGAACATGAACATTACTTGGTCTGTTTTTAGCAGGTGTTAATTTAAAAAGTCATGAGATAACAATATTAGCTTAAAGCATTATTTTATCTAAAATATATAGCACTACTTTATTACAAAGCATATAGCTGGATTGTTTTTCATTTTGTCACATGTATTAAAGTCTACATAAGGAGTTCAGGGTTTAGAATTTTTCCCCTCCTTTGACCTCACAGAAAACAGTGCCCAAATTACATTTTAATTGAGTTTCAGTCTTTTAATTTCATCTGAATTTTAATCACATGATCATGGGGATGCTGCAGAGGGCGTAACCGTGAAAAATGGTCAGAAGTCCCATTTTTCAATGCCATTTTAACTTTGAACAAATTGTTGTAAGTCAAGGACTACCTGTATTTATTTTAGATTGAAGATTTAGACTTAGACATGTAACATGGCATACAAAATGTAGAAAAGATACAGGTATCTGTATCTTGGAATTTTGGTCACTACACACTGCAGTTGTTAAGACTTGATTTTTAGAACGGTTGTTAAGTGACTAAGGTGATGATTAAGTGAATCCAGCTTCCTTAATTGACTTTTCTTGTCAGAAGCGAGTTGAGAAGGTTGCAATCATATGACCACAAGGTACTGCAGCTGTCGTAAATACAAGCTGGTTACCAAGTGTCCAAATTACAACCACAGGGGTAGCGCAACAGTCATAACTTCAAGGACAGGTCTTAAGTTACTTTTTCCAAGGCCGTAGTTAAACGGTTGTAAGTCAACAACTACCTGTAGCAATGTAAGCATATTCAGAAGATCTTTTTGGTGGACCATTGTTTAGGCTGTAGCATTTTCTAGTAATGCTGTTCTGGCATTGCAGCTTGATTGTTAGCTTTTTAAATCAGAATTTAAAATCATATATTATATTTCAGTCCAATTACTTTAAAATGGAAGGAAAATATTCTCACTCCATCCTCAGTGAAGCTGGAGGAGGACAATGGTGCAAGTGTGAATTCAAGGTCCTTGTACTCTTATTTCATCTGAACTAGGAAAGTGTTATTTTCCTGGTGTCTTTCCTTCTCTTTGCTTATAAGTTTCAGCTTGCATAATATTGTTGTAGGTTGTAGTGTCAGAACTACATTTCTCTCTGGCACTGATGCAATGGTTCTTATTTAATCTTAAATTAACCCCGCTTCGTGGCAACCACTATTTATCTAAAATGAACCTGACATAAATTTAAATCACTTGATCTCAATAGATAGCTGGTAGAATCTGAACTCTGCAGGTTATTGTATTTACAAATCTGTAAAAGTATATTATTTAATTTTGTTTAGGAATATGAAGCACGAATAGGAAAATTGTGTAAACCTGCACCCCAAGCAACAAGGCGTAGACACTTTGAATTTGAGCCACTTTCAACCACTGCTCTTATTCTGGAGGATCGACCATCGTAAGTCCCTGTGGATTCTTTTTACAAGTGTTTCAGTGTCAGATCAAAAAGTAAGCTAAGATAGGGACTCAGGTAAATTATGCTTGAATTGTAGTACACAGTGCCTCCCCTTTCCCAAAATAATAAAACTTACTTTTTTGTGAATATAATACAAAAATATATGCAGTGGAAATAATTATATGCTTACCTACATACATATATGCTTAAAACAAAGGCATTCTATAGTTGTTCACATTAGGAAAACTAAAACTTATCTTAATAGGAACTGCAAAAAAAATCTTAATTTTAATAAGTATCAATTGAAAAAAAAATTCTTTAGCTAACCATCATGTTCTAGTTGAGTACAATCTAATACTGCTTTACTTTTAAGCTTAAACCATTTAAAAATCTAAATGGGTACAACTTTACCACCTAAGAATTAGGCTTTAATGTTAGCATATATCTGAGGAACTATACTTTGTACAATTGACACGCTACTGAAAATAATCCTGTTTCTAAAGCAACTGGTAATGCTTTCTTTGGAACTCTGATTTTGAAACAAAGCTTTGAAATATAGAACTAAGATTAAATAATAAAACCTGCATTTTTATCACTTTAAAATAAATAGTGTCTACTCTGCATGGAGTCGATAATTCAAATTGATTTGGTGAAGTAACTTGTTGCTCATTTATTTTGAATTTATTCAGAACATTTACATGTCGAAGATCTATATGTTAAGGATTCAGAATGTTTGATTTTTTGTATCTATCAAGAGTCCTTTTGGCTGATGTCAAGTGAGAAGGTTAGACTACTTGGGTAGATAAAGAAGTAAACAATCAAAGGTTTATAAAATAACACTTAATGAAGCGTGAAACTGCTAGTAAGAGTAGAAGTAGACAGTCAGGTGCTTTATACCTTACTCTTTCAGTATTAATGCTGGTGACATATTTGGAAAGATTTTTGTTAGGGACCAAAGCATGCAAATTTGCAGCTGTCTCTTTGCATGAGGCAAGTACTACTACTTGTCCACATATGTAATGCTGTCACATCTCTTCTCCTTATGGAGAGCTTTTTTTTAAAATCCTCTAATCAGTTTTTTCTCTCAAATCTTTCCTGTCTCTAATCAGAATAACAACAGAACACTTTCTAAAGTCCTTGAATATTTCTTTTAAGTTTGGGTTGGGAGGATATTATGACTTCAGGGAAGGAGTAAATTATTTGAGTGATTGGAGTAGGAGTTAGATGAAAAGCAACTTATTGGAGCTGCAGGGCTTGAGTAGTGAATTATTTTATACAAGGAAGGAGGAAAGGATGTCAGAATGGATAATATAAAGTTTGTGTGGAAAAGGTATGGCCCTATTTTTTGAATGCTTTGGAATAGGCTCAGTTCTCAAATATAGATGTATAGCTGAATAATGAAAACAGTGATGTTGCCTAGTGCACTGGAGACTAATTATATCGCAGTGGTCTATTTCTTGGGTTTCATGGTACCATTATCTTTTTGGTCTTATTTCCGCACATACCTGCACTGGTATGTTTTTCCCACGTCCCCTCAGAACCAATGATAGGATATCTTTATACTTTAAACAATTTTCAGCACTCTTATTCAGTAATTTCAGGTCTCTTTCAGAGAGAGCAATTATAATCCCGTATCATTTCAGATTATCCTTCAAATACCCTTGGTCCAAATTTGTCAGAGAACAAATTGGTTTGATGTACACCTTGCATTGAATCTAGAAACTAAACATTTTTTTAGCATAAGACCATTTAGTCCAAACTATAATTTGTTCCATTATTTGTAATTAGACTTGCTCCTAAAACATTAGTTATACGCTCTTATGTAAATTATTGGTGACAATCTGTAAAATGAAGGATCTGTAATACCATTCTAGCATTCCTTTAACAAGACTTTAATTTGATTAATCTATATAGTACTTAAAATTCTTTTCAGGAACCTTCCCGCAAAATCTATGGAGGAGGCTTTACGTCACAGACAAGAATATGATGAAATGGTGGCGGAAGCAAAAAAGAGAGGTATGCCTGAGCTAATAATATTTAGTCCATTATGTACTTTATCAGATTTAACCAAACTTTAAAAACTGGCACTATCCTATTTATATTCTTCGGATAAAGTTAAAACAACATTCTTTCAAGTCTTGTGGATTATTTTTACTACTTCAGGACCACGTGTATGCCACAAAGGAGAATTTATAAACCAGAAAATTTAGTTTCCATGATTGATTGATTGTATCATATTTAAAACTGAAACCTGAGTTATAATTACTCATTAGTGAGTATGAATATTCATAAACTAAGATATAGGTAAAGCTTTTTAAAACACATGTTTTCTAATATATGCACACATGGACACAATATATCATTATTTATTTGTATCCTGTCTTTATTATTTTTACAAATAACTCAAGACAGCGATCATATCCAGTACACCTTCTTCCTATTTTCCCCCAGCAACAACTACTCTATGTGATGACCTTGTTGGCCCAAGGTCACACAGATAAAGAGATAAATCATATTTGTTTGCAGACTATGCTGAGAGATTTTGTAGCATGACTTTCTAGATGGTTTTATAAATTTATATACACACACACACAAAACACATTGAACAAATAAAATGTGCAGTGTATGAATATGGACATGAAAATGGACTTGAAGTCCACTTTTTTCTATCCACAGTAATCTTTCTCAGTAGCATTCAGTAGATCCTTTCTGAAGCCAAAAAGCAGCCATCTCCTTCCATGAGTAAACCATATTTATATCTTTTGCAGTGTGCATTGTTTGTATAACCTGAAATTTTTATGTTGTTTGATGTACTGTAAACGTAAATATTAAATTACTTCATGATTTGCTCTTTAACCCTCTTTGTCAAGCTGATCATCTTTGATGACAAACCAGAGGTGCTAGTTAACAGCCACCCACACATGCACACATACACACACACACACAGAGAGAGAGAGAGAGAGAGAGAGAGAGAGAGAGAGAGAGAGAGAGAGAGAGGGAGAACGTTATATACATGAAAGAGATTATTTGTTGTACATGCTTCCCAGAACCACTCAGACTCATTTGGCTGAAATGGAAAGACTATAAAATTGAATGAATGAATGAATGAATGATTTTTTTCTAGCAACAAGATGTTTGCTATCTGAAAGAAGCACAAACTGCCGTACAAAATATAGCACATTTGGCATATGCTATTATGTTAAACACCTATAATTAGTGTTTCCAGTATTTCAGTCCCAAGTATGCTACTAAACCAGATTCATGCCATTCCTTATTTCAATGGGATTGATCTGTTGGAAATTATACTGTAATTTAATCATACAGAGAACTCTTATTTTTAATATCATAAGTATTTCAACAATTGTAAAACAGAATATAAAACAACTAATGTAGATTGCCACATATTTTCAGGGTAAGGTGGAAGCTTCCAAGATTGTGATCTTCAGTTTCATCTCTATATTTAAGTACAGTTGTGGTTCAGAGTATAGTAATAAATATTCTGATGTGTCAGGAAACGAATTATTTTTTAATGTACCTTTGAGGGCCTTTTTAAGATTCTGAGAGACCCAGAGGCAGCATTTTATTTTGATTTTCCATTTTTTTGTTCATTGAAGTCATGGCTACAAGAATATAGGAAACTATTGAAATAATTGAAATAATTTCCATTATATTTTAATAGACTATTTTTTCTGATTTTAAGAAATAATACGGATTCACTCATTTTGAAATAGTAAATTAAGTTACGGATGAGGGATGGGGACTCCACCATTGCTGGAACCTATGGCAGTTGTCCCATTCTTTAAAAATCATTAGATCTTTTCTTTCATGCTTTTTCTCCTTTTGCATCCCTGTACTTATATACAATTATTTAGTTAGGGCAGTGCCTCATGATATGAAATAGATTCTAATCTAATCTAAGAAAACTTATTTTAAATAAAAACAGTATTGCTGTCCAGGGACACCAGTGCACCCATAGCAGTTTTCCTTGACATCTGCCAGACTTTGTGTCTTGATGCGTAAAAAATTGACATTCAGAATCTACTACGACTATGTAGATTTTCACAGTCGCAAAATGTTGACTGTAAAATATGGGTAAAACACTTCATCCTTAGAAATGTAACATTCTTGGAAATGTTCTCAATTTCTTCCAGATCATGCCACCTGACCATTCCAGCTGTTATAGGACTATTCTCCTCCCCTCCCCCCCCAGTAAATCTTCCAAAATAAGGCAGTGATTTATGGTGTTCTAAATCTACTTCTAGAAAACACCTGGATACCACTCTTGGAACTGCCCAGTAGAAAAAAACCCGTAACATTTTAGAATTCCTCGGAATGTTCCTTTTCTAGAGATGGAACAGTTTGCACATACCTGTTTACTTTTTCTGATATTGAAAAAAGAGCTACAACAGTGTAACGAATTCATTCATTCCTGTAATTAGAATTATCTCTGCTAAGAGTTGCTTTACAAAGCAGGTATATATTTTATAAGCATTTATATTTAAGGGGCCCATATCCTTTAATTATCTAATATTTGTTTTAAACATGGCTTTTTGACATCACGTTGCAAATAAAATTCTGAATTTAATAGAAATTAAAGAAGCTCACCGAAGGAAGAAAATAATGAAAGAACGCTTCAAACAAGAGGAGAATATTGCTAGTGCTATGGTGATTTGGGTCAATGAAATTCTGCCTAATTGGGAGAGCATGTAAGTGTAGAATACTTGGTAATACAAGTGGTTTCCTTGTGTTCCTGCATGTTTTCCTTTCTGTTCTCAGCTGTACTTTTAATTGATCATAACATAGAATTTCTTTCTCTTGTACCTGCTATTTTATTTTTTTAATTCAGAGACCACATATTAAGAGAGCAGTGGATGCTGATTTATAAGGATCAGGCAATACACTTGCAGGAAGCATTCCTAGCAAATTCCAATAGAAGATCTCTGGCTTCTCACGTGAAGCTAAAGTTTACTGCTGTATTTGTTTCTACGATATTTCTAATAGTACTCAAACAATTACATTTACACTCCTTTTATTTCTATGTGTTTATAGGCGTTCTACAAGGCGAGTGCGAGAATTATGGTGGCAAGGATTACCTCCAAGTGTTCGTGGAAAGGTTTGGAGTCTTGCTGTAGGAAATGAATTGAATATCACTCCTGGTATGTTTGAAGCATATAATAGTTTCAAGTGATATTCTGCAACATAGCTCAACCTTTGGTTGTCTTGAGTGTATGATGGTGTCCATTTTGCCCAGGAATTAATTGCATTATTAGCTGTCATACTTCAGTGTCCTAGTGTTTCCCTTATAAATGATGAGATTATGCAGCACTCAAATCCCTGTCTTAAATTGAAGCCCTTTCTTTAAAAGATAATCAATAGGGCTGAATGAAAAAAAATCAGAGTTTTTTTTAACTATTCTACACGTTAAACTTACATGGTGCTGACTAACATTTCTTATGATATACACTTAGCTAGTAATAATCTATAATACTTTAAATTTTAGCTCTAAACAACTTAGTTGTGATTCAGTGACTAGGGAGGTGATGACCAGGTTGTTTGAGCCAAACAATGATAATGACCAGGTTGTTTGAGCCAAACAATGATAATCAACAGTTTCTCATCAAACTTTAATTAGGTGTCAAATGGTATACCATTGAATTAGGTCCTGGACTTTCTACTCTTCATTTTTATTAATGACTTAGATATATTACATTTGCAGTTAGCATAAAACGTGATGGTAAAGTTAATACTGTAGCTCACAAGAGCAAAATTCCAATTGTTCTTGACTGATAAGAAAGATGAATTAGAAGTAACAGAATAATATCTAATGGAGATAGATGCAAAGTTTTCTAGTTAGGAAAAAGAATCGAATGCACAAGAAATGAGGATTATCTGGCATGATAAATGAGAACAGGATATTTGAATTGTAGTTGATTATAAAATGAATGTGAATCAGCAATCTAATAATACTTCTAATAAGGCAAATTCAGTTTTAGGGTCTACAAATCTACTTTCCAAATCATGGGAAGCAATAATTCAATTTAGTTTGGATTGTTCAGCCCTTTCTGTTGGCACAAGTAGGATAGGCTTATCCTAGCAGGACAAGATGGTTCATCAGCTTCCCTGGACCTATGCCATTAAAGGCTTTAATGGTCATAACCAACACCTTGAACTGCATTTGGAAGCAGACCAGTAGTCTGTGAAGTTCACTAAGCAGAAGTGTAATATGTGTCAGGTGCAAGAAACCAGGAACCAAGGTTGTTTAAATGAGTACAACTTTATTCCATGCTAGCTCTCTTTAATCTGAACTAGTAAAAACCAAGGCAAATTGGCAGATTTGAGTCAATGGAATTGGCAGAAAAGAGTCAACGGAATTCAAGGAGGGCTGGACCTAGATCCTGAATGGGTGCAAAGGGACTCCAAATGACATACTTGACTCCTCCCTTGGGCTCAGTCTGGTCATCTCATATATCACAGGCCATCGCAGGGGGCCCGAAGACTGCTCTCACTGCCACACTTGGTACCAGCTGAAGCTTCTGAATGAACGTCAAGGGTAGCTTCCTGTAAGGCACATTGCAGTAGTCCAGGTGAAAAATGACCAGGACTTGAGTAACTGAATACAGGGAGTCATGATCCGAGAAAGGTTGCAACTGGTTCACAAAGCGGAGCTATGCAAAAGCTCTCCTGAGTAATGCCTGCCACCTGCTCTTCAAGCAGGAGATGCGAGTTTCCCAGCACAGAACTTTCAGCAGACAATTGTGTGTTTCCTACTTACTTAAAGGGAAAGTCAGAGAGGAGGTTGCGAACTAGGTCTGAATGGGGTAGTGCAACCACTGTCTCAACATGAGGTCCTTGCTTAACAACTGCAGCTAGGACTACCGAAACTGCCATCGCTAAGTGGTACAATCGTGACATTTTGCCATCACTTTGCTAGGGTAGAAGTATCAGCCCTAATAGCTAAGCAAGGCCCACCTGTGTGTATATGCATTATTCATAGTAACAAAAGCTTGTATTTATCACTTTGTATTTTCTCTTTTTACCCTTTGGTGAGTAGAGCTTGAATCTAATTATGGAGATTAGAAATTCCTAAATCATCAAACCGAGACTTCCACTAGTCAATTTATAGAAGTTCTGATCTTAAAAACCTGTAAATTAATATTGAAATGGAAATCACATAATTCAATTTGCAAAATGATAAATTTGATTTTTGGCTACATTTTGCTGTGTTTTGCAGAACTCTATGAAATCTTCTTATCTAGAGCCAAGGAACGATGGAAGATTTTTGGAGAGACAGGCACCGAAAATGATACCGAAGGTATTTTGAAATGGTACCAATAGCTGCTCTTATCATTTCACAATACATAATATACTGTTTGTAGTGTTTATTATAGTGCAAAGACACTTTTAGGGATTTTAACAATATAATTTCCTAGCCCAGAACTTTTAGCAGACAAAATTGTGTGTTTCCTACTTACTTAAAGAGAAAGTCAAAGAGGAAAATTCTAGAAATATTATGTAGAGAATCTATTCTCTGTAGTAGTGCAATTCTCAATAATCAGTGTTATGTGAAATTTCTGGATGCGTTCAACCCTGTGTTAGACGATCTTCGTTTTATATTACAACTTCATAGCTATTGTTATAAGCTTCATAAGGCCCCTTTCTTCTCAAATAATAGCCTGACTAACTTAGTAAGATTCTGGTTTTATAAGTCATGCGAAGTTCACTTTTTATGCCCAGTTGGTTTTGCTTCTTTCTTTTGGCTATTACAAAATAATAATAATAATAATAATAATAATAATAATAATAATAATAATAATAATAATAATTATTATTATTATTATTATTATTATTATTATTATTATTATTATTATTATTATTATTATTATTATTATTATTATTATTAATATACCGCCCTATCTCCCTTACGGGACTCAGGGCGGTGAACAGGCAATAATAAAAATCACAGTAAATATTACATGAAAGCCTGCTCTAAAATATAAAACCCCTAACAAAACCCAATCAAAACTATGCCAGGCCGGCCGCATGGAACAGATGAGTTTTCAGGGCTCGGCGGAAGAGGCGATTGTACGTAGGTCGGGGGGCAGGTCATTCCAGAGGGCAGGAGCTGCCACAGAGAAGGCTCTCCCCTGGAGGTCGCCAGCTGGCATTGGCTGGCCGACGGTACCCTAAGGAGGCCCTCTCTGTGGGAGCGGACTGGTCGAAGGGAGATATTTGGTAGGAGGTGGTCTTGCAAATACCTAGGTCCATTGCCACGGAGCGCTTTAAAAGTTGTTACTAACACCTTGAAGCGCACCCGGAAGGCCACCGGCAGCCAGTGCAGCTCGCGCAGGAGAGGTGTTACATGGGAGCATCTAGAGGCCCCCAAAATCCCCCGCACAGCCGCATTCTGAACTAGCTGGAGCCTCCAGGTGCACCTCAAGGGGAGCCCCATGTAGAGAGCATTGCAATAGTCCAGGCGGGAAACAACGAGGGCTTGAGTGACCGTGCGTAGGGCGTCCCGATCCAGAAAGGGGCGCAACTGGCGTATCAGGCGAGCCTGATAAAAAGCCCCCCTGGCCACGGCCGTCACATGATCGTCTAAAGACAGCCGAACATCCAGGAGGACGCCCAGGTTGCGGGCCCTCTCCGCGGGAGCTAATGACTCGCCCCCGATAGCCAGAGATGGAACCAACTGGCTATGACGTGACGCCGGAAACCACAGCCACTCGGTCTTGGACGGGTTGAGTCGAAGCCTGTTCCTCCCCATCCAGACTCGCACGGCCTCCAGGCACCGGGACATCACTTCCGCGGC